TCCATTCGCCGCTCGCCTTTCTCGCACCTCCTGAAGACCACAGAAGTATCAACGAAACCCAATTACATAGCGGCTAACTTATACTGGGAAGGCGCAGTTGATATGGCGGAGAAACTAGCTCTCCCGCTACTTCTACCCAACCCGCCACCGTCAAAACCTTCTTTTGTAAACCATAACCACAACCAACAGCAACCCACGATGCCTCTCCACCCTCCTCCTGTATCGCCGCTCATCCAAGACATCCTTTACCACCAAAATTCCAATTCCCAACTTCCCGTCAGTCCTCAACCCAGGGCACGAGCCCGCATCGGCCGGTCGCATGACCCGAATCGCGGTAAGCCATGGTCTCACCGCACGGGTCTCTCTTCTAGAGGTCAGCAGATTCTCGTCTCCTTAATTGAGCCTTCTTTTGATTGCAATCAGCTTGATAGTATTTTTTCTGAGTTATTTGAGCAATACCAAGATGACCCAGAGGCAAAAATGAATACTTTAGCTGTAGAGATACTGGGTATTATCAAGGGTTTAGGGTTTTACAAGAAATGTGATTTGGCTCTGAGTGTGTTTGAGTGGGTTAGGAATAGAAAAGATTTTGCGTCTGTTGTCAATGGTTCTGTTATTGCTGTGATTATTAGGATGCTAGGAAGAGAGAAGCGAGTCACGGCTGCTGCAAATTTGCTGTATAGTTTGCATAGAGATGGATTTGATATTGATGTTTATGCGTATACTTCTTTGATAACTGCTTATGCTAGTAATGGGAGGTATAGGGAGGCTATGATGGTCTTTAAGAAGATGGAGGAAGAGGGGTGCAAACCTACATTGATAACTTATAATATCGTTTTGAATGTTTATGGGAAAATGGGTATGCCTTGGAATAGGACAATGGCTCTTGTTGATGCAATGAAGAATGAAGGGGTTGTCCCTGATGCTTACACTTATAATACACAGATAAGTTGTTGTAGCAGAGGGTCCTTGCATGAAGAAGCAGCTGGGGTTTTTGAGGAAATGAAATCGGCAGGTTTCAGTCCAGATAAGGTTACTTATAATGCATTGTTGCATGTTTATGGGAAGTCTCGGCGACCTGACAGAGCCATGAAGGTTTTGAATGAGATGGAGCTTAATGGTTTTCCCCCTAGCATTGTGACTTACAATTCATTAATATCAGCTTATGCTAGAGATGGTCTGTTGGAAGAAGCAATGGATTTAAAAACCCAGATGGTGGAGAAAGGGATCAGTCCTGATGTCTTCACCTATACAACTCTTTTTTCAGGACTCGAGAAATCTGGGAAGGACGAGCCTGCAATGAAGGTTTTTGAGGAGATGAGAAAGGCTGGTTGCAAGCCAAATATTTGTACCTTTAATGCCCTAATTAAGATGCATGGTAATAGGGGAAAGTTTACAGAGATGATGAAGGTTTTTGATGAGATCACAGCATGCAATTGTTCCCCAGACATTGTTACCTGGAATACTCTTTTGTCAGTATTTGGTCAAAATGGGATGGACTCAGAAGTCTCTGGAGTGTTCAGGGAGATGAAGAGGGCGGGGTTTGTACCTGAAAGGGACACTTTCAACACCCTAATCAGTGCATACAGCCGATGTGGTTCGTTTGATCAGGCCATGGTGGTTTACCAGAGAATGCTAGAAGCTGAGGTTACCCCAGACATCTCTACATACAATGCTGTTTTGGCAGCACTTGCTCGTGGAGGGCTCTGGGAACAGTCAGAGAAAATACTTGCTGAAATGAAGGCATGTCAGTGTAAACCAAATGAGCTAACATATTGTTCTTTGCTTCATGCTTATGCCAACGGGAAGCAAATTGAACGGATGCACTCTCTTGCAGAAGAGATATATTCTGGCATGATTGAGCCTCATGCTGTGCTCTTGAAGACTCTTGTTTTAGTTAATAGCAAAAGTGACCTTCTTATGGAAACAGAGCATGCTTTCTTGGAGTTGAGGAAAAAGGGATTTTCACCTGACTTACCTACCCTGAATGCCATGGTTTCCATATATGGGAAGAGGCAGATGATTGCCAAGACAAACGAGATCTTGAACTTCATGAATGAGAGTGGGTATACTCCAAGCTTGACAACCTACAATACCTTGATGTACATGCAAAGCCGCTCTGAAAGTTTTGAAAAATCTGAAGAAATTTTAAGGGAAATTTTGGCAAAAGGAATAAAACCTGATACTATTTCTTATAATACTGTTATATATGCCTATTGCAGAAATGGTCGAATGAAAGAAGCTTCACGGGTATTGTCAGAAATGAGGGATTCTGGGCTTGTCCCAGATGTTATTACTTATAATACCTTCATTGCAAGTTATGCAGCTGATTCGATGTTTGCAGAGGCTGTTGATGTGGTCCGTTACATGATTAAGCATGGCTGTAGACCAAATCAGTACACATATAACTCCATTGTGGATGGATGCTGTAAACTCAATCGCCATGAGGAGGCAAGGACGTTTGTCAATAATCTTCAAAAGCTTGATCCACATACTTCGAAGGAAGAGGAGTATAGATTGTTAAACCGTATAGCAGATAAATGGCCATAGGCAACCTCCTTCCACAAAGAACCTTTCTGTGCTGTGTTGTATATTGTTTTGGCATGGAGAGAGCAGAAATGCAATGTTGTACATGAATCTGATATTTGTTCCTTGAGATAGATCTTCCAATTTAAAGGCATAGAGCT